CTTTTAAACTTTTTTAAAACAAAAAAAAAAAAAAAGAAAAATCAATGAAGATAAGAGAGAGAGAGAGAGAGAGAGGGAGAGAGAAAGAGAGGAGAGAGAGAGAGAAGGAAGATATACATTTGTGATAATTGATTTGATCGATTTGCGCTTTTTATTATTTATCATCGGATAAATTATTTTTCATAAATCTTTTTTTTTTTTCTTCTTCTTCTCTTTTAAATTTAATTATAATTAATTTTCAAATGTAATTAATTTAAATTCAAATGTGAAATTTTTTTCTTTGTTTAAATAAAATTAGCAAAAAAAATAAATAAATAAATAAATAAACTAAAATTTTTGTTACATTTTGTTATTTGATATTTTGCTTTTTTTTTTTATATTACTTATTTATTTGTTTACAAATTAATTTCATTTTATATTATTTATTTTTTAAATTAATCATTTGTTTCTTACAATTCAATTAATTTATATTTTTTTAATTTCTTTTTTTTTAGAAATTGAATAATTGAATAGAATTTTATTTAATGAAAAGTAAATTTTTTTTTTTTTTTTTTTTGTTAAATGTTAGATGAAATGAAATTTATCTTTTCAGTAACAATTTTCAATCGTTTATTTTGTTAAATGATAATGATAAGAGTGATAACAATAATAATGATAATATGATTATGTGTGATTAGCATAAAAAATAAATATGGGAGAAAAACAAAAACAAAAAGTAAGTTTTATCTTTTTTATTTTTTTAAAATGTTTAACAAAATATTATTATAATATTTATTACTGAATTAATTAATTAATTAATTACATATAATTTTAAATGAAATAGAATAAATAAAAAATAGAGTACAGTGATAAGAGTGATAATAATGATATGATTAGCATGAAAAGTAAATATGGGAGAAAAAAACAAACAGTAAGTTTTATTTTTTTTCTAATTTTTTATTTTTTTAAAAGTGTTTAACAAAATATTATTATAATAATTATTATTACTCAAATACTGAATTAATTAATTACATATAATTTTGCACAAAATAGAATAAAATGAAATAGAATAAAAATATATTTAAAAAATGGAGCATAGTGATAAGAGTGATAATAATAATGATAATATGATTATGTGTGATTAGCATGAAAAATAAATACGGGAGAAAAAGAAAAGTAAATTTTATCTATAAAATGTTATTATAATATTTATTACTGAATTACTAAATTAATTAATTACATATAATTTTAAATCAAAATGGAATAAATAAAAACAAAAATAAAGCATAAATATAAATAAAAATAAAGCATTGATGTAAATAAAAATAAAGCATAAATGTAAATAAAAATAAGTTTTATCTACAAAATATTATTATAATATTTATTATTGAATACTAAATTAATTAATTACATATAATTTTAAATCAAAGTGGAATAAATAAAAACAAAAATAAAGCATAAATATAAACAAAAATAAAGCATAAATGTAAATAAAAATAAGTTTTATCTACAAAATATTATTATAATATTTATTATTGAATACTAAATTAATTAATTACATATAATTTTAAATCAAAGTGGAATAAATAAAAACAAAAATAAAGCATAAATATAAACAAAAATAAAGCATAAATGTAAATAAAAATAAGTTTTATCTACAAAATATTATTATAATATTTATTATTGAATACTAAATTAATTAATTACATATAATTTTAAATCAAAGTGGAATAAATAAAAACAAAAATAAAGCATAAATATAAACAAAATAAAGCATAAATGTAAATAAAAATAAGTTTTATCTACAAAATATTATTATAATATTTATTATTGAATACTAAATTAATTAATTACATATAATTTTAAATCAAAGTGGAATAAATAAAAACAAAAATAAAGCATAAATATAAACAAAAATAAAGCATAAATGTAAATAAAAATAAGTTTTATCTACAAAATATTATTACAATATTTATTATTGAATACTAAATTAATTAATTACATATAATTTTAAATCAAAATAGAATAAATAAAAACAAAAATAAAGCGTAAATATAAATAAAAATAAGGCATAGATGTAAATAAAAATAAAGCATAAATGTAAATAAAAATAAGTTTTATCTACAAAATATTATTATAATATTTATTATTGAATACTAAATTAATTAATTACATATAATTTTAAATCAAAATAGAATAAATAAAAACAAAAATAAAGCATAAATATAAACAAAAATAAAGCATAAATATAAACAAAAATAAAGCATAAATGTAAACAAAAATAAAGCGTAAATATAAATAAAAATAAAGCATAAATATAAACAAAAATAAAGCGTAAATATAAACAAAAATAAAGCATAAATATAAACAAAAATAAAGCATAAATAAAATTTAATAAATTTTTAAAAATTCATTATTAACACTTTAACAATACGTCCAAAATGTTTATTTCTGATAATTTTAATATTTTTTTTTTAGCAAAATTTGTTTTTTTATAGAAAAAATTATTATATTTTTTTTTTTATTTATAAAATATAAATTATTGTATATTTTATAAAAAATACAAAGAAATTGTAACATTTCTTTATGGTAAGTTGAAATATTTTATTTTTTTGAAAATTTCTTTGCAAAAAATTGTATTTATTCAATTTTAAATTTATTTAATTATTTTTTTTTCTCAATAAATAAACAATGACAAATTTTCATTTATAGAATTAATTTTGCTATAAATGCATTAATTACTAATAAATTTATTAAAAAATTATTAAAATAAATGCGCTAATTATTAAATTTATATTAAAAATAAAAATAATAAATTTATTAAAAATTATCTAAAACTTATTCTAAAGTTATCAAAAATTAATTAATTAATTAATTAATTAATTAATTTGCTAAATTATTTCATCCTTTTTTTTTGAAATTTCACATTTGGTAAATCTTTGAAATTTAAAAAAAAAAGAATTAAAAATTGCCTTTTTTTGGTGATAAACAATAAACAAAGTATAGAATTTGAGGTAAAGCAATAATAAATAATAAAATTGAATTTGAATTCAAATAATAGAAATTCAATTTTAAGTTTTTAATTTTGTACAACAAATTTTTGTTTTTTTTTTTTTTTGAAAAAATATTGAAAGTTTGCTAACTGAGTAAATTAATTAATGACTTATTTACAATTAGCTTAAGATATTGGCGTGAAGAAAGAAAAAAAGCGCACCGCGCCGTCTACTAACAGCGCCTATCAATGCGTTCCACATTTCATTTTCAATCGAACATTTTCAAAATGTTCGATTGATTCTATCATTGTTTATTATTACTATTTATTATCATCGTTATCACTATTTATTATCATCGTTATCACTATTTATTATCATCGTTATCACTATTTATTATCATCGTTATCACTATTTATTATCATCGTTATCACTATTTATTATCATCGTTATCACTATTTATTATCATCGTTATCACTATTTACTATCATCGTTATCGCTATTTATTATCTATTTTTTTTTTTTAATTACTATTATTGACATCGTTATCATTATTTATTATCACCGTTATCACTATTACTAACATCGTTATCATTATTTATTATCATCGTTATCACTATTATTAAAATCGTTATCATTATTTATTATCATCGTTATCACTATTTATTATTATCGTTGTCACTATTTATTATCATCGTTATCGCTATTTATTATCTATTTTTTTTTAATTACTATTATTGACATCGTTATCATTATTTATCATCATGGTTATCACTATTATTAAAATCGTTATCATTATTTATTATCATCGTTATTACTATTATTAAAATCGTTATCATTATTTATTATCATCGTTATCCCTACTATTAAAATCGTTGTCATTATCTATTATCACCATTATCACTGTTGTTAGCATCGTTATCGCTACTTATTGTCATCGTTATCACTATTATTAACATCGTTATCACTATTTATTATTATCGTTGTCACTATTTATTATCATCGTTATCACTATTATTGAAATCGTTATCATTATTTATTATCACCGTTATCACTGTTATTAACATCGTTATCACTATTTATTATTATCGTTTTCACTATTTATTATCATCGTTATCACTATTATTAAAATCGTTATCATTATTTATTATCACCGTTATCACTATTATTAACATCGTTATCACTATTTATTATTACCGTTGTCACTATTTATTATCATCGTTATCACTATTATTATCACTGCTAACACTCATCAATTAATGATTTATTGCTATTATTATTATTAGTATCATTTCTGATTGCTTTTTTGTTATCGTCCATTATTATTATTATTATTATTATTATTATTATTATTATTATTATTATTATTATTATTATTATTATTATTATTATTATTATTATTATTATTATTATTATTATTATTATTATTATTATTATTATTATTATTATTATTATTATCATTTTTATTTTTATTATAAAAATAATATTTATTAATTTAATTTTATACAAAATATCAATTTTCAACTTCAATTTTTATCCTTATCACTATTATTATTATCACTGCTACTATTTATCAGTTAATGATTTATTGCTATTATCATTTCTGATTGCTTATTTTGTCATCGTCCATTACTATTATTATTATTATTATTATAAAATTATTCCTATTATTATCTTTTTTATTTTCAATTATAAAATTATTATTTATTAATTTAATTTTATACGAAATACTAATTTTCAACTTCAATTTTAGATTTTTATTTAATTTTTTTCTCAATTTTTTTTTCCATTTTTGTTTGTTCTATCTTTTAACAGTGCAAATTTTTTCAAATGAAAATGATAAAATTTTAGCAATTAATTATAAATTGAAAAAAAGAAACAAAAAGAAAAGAAAAAGAAAAAGTGCATTGTTAACAATTTATTTCAAATTTAATTTCCAATTTGATTAAAAAATTTTTGTAATTAAATATTAAAATATAAAATGAAAATTTCAGATTGATTAAAATATTATTTTAAAAAAAGAAAAAAAAAATGCGATGTTTTGATTTGCCATGTCAAATATTTTTTATCGATGAATATGATAATGATGCTCGCTCCACACATCGATGTTGTGGTGGTACTGTTCATATTAAAGTAATTTTTATTTTAAATTTTTTAATTTTAATAAAATTTAAATTTCATTGCTTAAAAAAGAAAAACATTTCAAATTTTACATTTTAATTATTAATTTAATAATTAAATTTAAATTTTATTGTTTCAAAAATTAATTTTAAACAATCATTTTTATTATTTTATTAGTATATTTCATTTCATTTCAATTTGTTTTTTTTTTTTGTGTTTTGATTTATAAAATTAGAAAAAAGAAAGATTTGTTAAAATATTTTTTTTTTAAAAATGAGTTTATTTTCATTTAAAAATTTCATTTTCATCTTTCATTTGTATTTTATTATTAAATTTTTCATTTATTTTATTTTACTTTATTATTTTGTTATTTATTATTTTATTTTATTATTGTATATTTTACTATTTTATTTATTATTTTATCATTTTAGTATAATTTTATTTATTATTGCATATTTTATTATTTTATTTTATTATTTTATCAATTTATTTTTATTATTTTGCTATTATTTTAATATTATTTTATTTTATTTTATCATTATTTTATTTATTGTTTTATCATTTTATTTTATTGTTAAATTCCTAATTCATTTTATTTTTATTATATTATTACTTTCTTATTCCATTTTATTATTAAATCTATTATTTTATTTTAGTTTATTATTGTATATTTTATTATTTTATCACTTTATTATTATTTCATTACTTTATTTTATTATTATTTTATTATATTATTATTTTATTTATTATTTTATTTTTATTATTTATCATTGTATTATTGTATATTTTATTATTTTATTATTGCACATTTAAATTTTCTATTTTATTTTTATTTTACTCTATTATTATTTTATTTATTATTTTAATTTTTATTATTATTTTATTTATTATTTTATTATATTATTATTATTTTATTTATTATTTTATTTTTACTATTATTTTATTTATTATTTTATTTTTATTATTATTTAATTTTATTATTGTATATTTTACTATTGCACATTTAAATTTTCTATTTTATTTTTATTTTACTATATTATTATTTTATTTATTATTTTATTAATTATTTTATTATTTTATTACAAAATAATTTTATTATAGCAAATAAATTTTTTTTTTATTTCACAAATACATATGAATTTATTGATTTTTCTGGCGCAATAGTGAAACATACAACTTATTGATTAGTTTTTTTTTTTTTTTTTCAAAAAAAAATTGAAATTTTTTTATAGATGGCAACATTATACGTGGCAACATCAGCACTAATACTATGTGCTTTCAATACGGCTAGCGTCTATTTTGGCGTATATTCCGTGAATTTTACGCTTGATATTACGTTAACTGTAATCAATGCAATTACCGCCACAATGATTTTTTATGCTTTATATTATGAAAAAGCAATATTTCTAATTCCATTCATTGTTACTTCCGTTTGTTTCCTTTTTTTTTTTTTTGTAAAAAGTAAAGTTATATTTTTTTTTTAAAAAAAAATTATTCAAATTATTTATATTTGAAATAATTTTGTAAAATTAGTAAAAAAAAAAATAAGTAAATAAAAAAGTGTAAAAAGTAAAAACAAAAAAAAAAAAAAAAAATAAACTTAGATTTATTTTAATAAAATAAAATGATAGCAAAAATTTTATCAATTTATTTAATCGATTTTTTTTTTTGTTTTATCAAATTTTAATCATTAATCAATTGGTGATAATTGTAAAAGTAAGCTTTATCAGATAAAATTATCAGTCAAATTTTAAACATTAATCAATTGATGATAATTGTAAAGAGCTAAGTAAGCTTTATCAGATAAAATTATCAATCAAATTTTAATCATTAATCAATTGATGATAATTGTAAAGAGCTAAGTAAGCTTTATCAGATAAAATAATCAATCAAATTTTAATCATTAATCAATTGATGATAATTTTAAAGAGCTAAGTAAGCTTTATCAGATGAAATTATCAAAATTTAAAGATTTTTTGTTTTATCAATTTTAATCATTAATCAATTGGTGATAATTGTAAAAGTAAGCTTTATCAGATAAAATAATCAATCAAATTATAATCATTAATCAATTGGTGATAATTTTAAAGAGCTAAGTAAGCTTTATCAGATGAAATTATCAATCAAATTTTAATCATTAATCAACTGATGATAATTTCAAAGAGCTAAGTAAGCTTTATCAGATGAAATTATCAAAATTTAAAGATTTTTATTTTGAGATCAATTGCTGTTTAAGATCAATAAGATTGATCGATCGATTGATTGATTGATCGATTGATGCTTCTGCTAAAAGTAAATAAAATAAATATTTTTGATTATCGTCAAAAAAAAAAAAAGCAGAAAAAGTAGAAAGAAAAATGCCGCATAGATTAATTATTTTTCAAAGTAAATTTTTGAAAAAGTAAAAGTAAAAAAAAAAAACAAAAAATTTTTCTTTTAATAATAAATTCATACTTTTTTTTTTTTTTGTATAATTTATTAATAATTATTATAGTTAAAAGCATTATGATAAATTGTAAATAATTTGAAGTAAAAATTTTTGAAAATATTTAAATTTATGAAGCAAACAAAATAGCTTAATTAACAAAAACTTATTGTTAATTAGATTTAAAAAAAAAAAGTTTTTTCATTTAAATTTTTTAAATTTTTCAAAAAAAAAAAAATTGTTTAAAGTTTGTTTTTGTTTTTACTTTTTAATAAACTATCATTTTTCTTGTTCAAATTTTGCTTTTTTTTTTTTGCAAACATATGCATAGTATTAAGAATGCTTAATATAATTTAATTTTAATTTACTTTTAAATTTATATTTTAATTTACTTTGAAATTTTAAAATGATTATATCAGTTAGTTAAAAGTAATAGTATATAAGTGGTGATAATATCATTAAAAACATTATAATCACTTGTAATCAATCAATACTGATTATCGTAATCAATTAATACTGATTATTTTGAGATAATTAATTTCAAATTTACTTTGAAATTTTGAAAAGATTATATCAGTTAGTTAAAAGTAATAGTATAAAAGTAATGATAATATCATTAAATACATTATAATCACTTGTAATCAATCAATACTGATTATTTTGAGATAATTAATTCCAAATTTACTTTGAAATTTTAAAATGATTATATCAGTTAATTAAAAGTAATAGTATAAAAGTAATGATAATATCATTAAATACATTATAATCATTTGTAATCAATCAATACTGATTATCGTAATCAATTAATACTGATTATGTTCAGGTAATTAATTTCAAATTTACTTTGAAATTTTAAAATGATTATATCAGTTAGTTAAAAGTAATAGCATAAAAGTAATGATAACATTATCAAATATATTATCATTTGCAATCAATCAATACTGATTATGTTGAGATAATTAATTAGTTTCAATTTTACTTTAAAATTTTATTATCAGTTAGTTAAGTTAGTTAAAAGTAATAGTATAAAAGTAATGATAACATTATCAAATATATTATCATTTGCAATCAATCAATACTGATTATTTTGAGGTAATTAATTTCAATTTTACTTTAAAGTTTTATTATGATTATATAATCATATATAATTAAATAATTAGCTGATACATAATTAACTGATATTATCATAATAAAATTTTAAAGTAAATTTGAAATTAATTAATTATCTCAACATAATTGAAATTGATATTTCAGTTAGTTAAAAGTAATGATAACATTATCAAATATATTATCATTTGCAATCAATCAATACTGATTATGTTGAGATAATTAATTAGTTTCAAATTTACTTTAAAATTTTATCAGTTAGTTAAGTTAGTTAAAAGTAATAGTATAAAAATAATGATAACATTATCAAATATATTATCATTTGCAATCAATCAATACTGATTATGTTGAGATAATTAATTAGTTTCAAATTTACTTTAAAATTTTATCAGTTAGTTAAGTTAGTTAAAAGTAATAGTATAAAAATAATGATAACATTATCAAATATATTATCATTTGCAATCAATCGATATTAATTATGTTGAGACAATTAATTAATTTCAAATTTACTTTAAAATTTTATTATCAGTTAGTTAAGTTAGTTAAAAGTATTAGTATAAAAGTAATGATAACATTATCAAATATATTATCATTTGCAATCAATCAATACTGATTATTAATCAATCAATCAATCGATCAATCGATAATAGAAATTAGAAGTTTTTTTTTTTAATGCTAAATGTTTAGCATTAATTTAAATTTTTTAAAATTAATTTTTTTTAAAAGAATTTTTCAGATAGCTCAATGTGCAGGTTTTCTTCTTTTGGCTATTTATACATTATATTATACAATAACATATAGAAAACAAACATTTAATAGGAAATTTGGTTTGTTTAAAAATAATATTTGTAATTTTTACATTACTTTTTATCTATTTCTAATCGTTTAATCTTTGATTAATTAATTAATTAATTAAAATTGAGTTAAAAAGTTTTTGAAATTGTATAAAGAAGTAAGTTAATTTTTTTTAAATTATTATTTATACATTTGAAAGGATCCTATTCTGTAATTAATGAATCCTGTAATTAGTTTTATTTTTATTATTTAATCCAATTTCTTTTTTTATTTATAATAATTATTGTAACTACTAAAATTGATACTATTATTATTATTATTATTATTATTATTATTATTATTATTATTATTTATTATTATTATTATTATTATTATTATTATTATTATTATTATTATTATTATTATTATTATTATTATTATTATTATTATTATTATTATTATTATTATTATTATTATTATTATTATTATTACTAATATTATTGTTACTGCCATTATTATTACTGTTATTATTATTATTACTATTATTATTATTATTATTATTATTATTATTATTATCATTACTAATATTATTCTTACTCCATTATTATTATTATTGTTATTATTAATATGTAATTATTAGTATTACTAGTAAAATTGACAGTATTATTATTATTATTTTATTATTATTATTATTATTATTATTATTATTACTAATATTATTGTTACTGCCATTATTATTATTACTGTTATTATTAATATGTAATTATTAGTATTGCTAGTAAAATTGACATTATTATTATTATTATTATTATTATTATTATTATTATATAATTATTAGTAACACTACTAAAATTGACATTATTATTATTATTATTATTATTATTATTATTATTATTATTATTATTATTATTATTATTATTATTATTATTACTATTACTATTATTATAATTACTAATTCTTTCTAATCTGAAAATAACTTATTTGTAAATCAATCAATGATCAAACCAAATTAATTTAGAAATTAAAACACGAAACATTGCAAATATATTATCATTTCTAGTGGTCTTTTTTTTCAAACTACAAAAGCAAAACAAAAAAAAAAAACCTGAAATTAAATTTTAAATTAATTTCAGATCAAGTACTAATGACTATTAGTATATTTCTTGGTGTAATAATTTCCACATGGTCATGGATTGTTGCAGCTAAATGCTATAAATATTTGAAGCAACAAATTACTAATTTCAATGAAACAGCAAAAGAACGTTGTCTTTGGCGGTGATAATTAATTAATTAATTAATTAATTAACTAATTAATTAATCATAATTGCTAAAATTTATTTACAAATTTAATTTTTAATTTTTATTTTTTTTTCTTTTCTAAATGATTCCTTTTTTTTTTGTTTAACAAATAATTATTTGTCTTATAATTTATCAAAAGAATTATTTTATTTTATTTATTTATTTTTTTGATTTCTATGATTAATTAATTTTTATCAAAAAAAAAAAATGAGTAAAAATAAAGTATAAAAAATTGAAAATTACAATTTGTTACATTTCACGTAATTATTACTTAGTTACGTGAAATGTATAAGTACGTGTAAAAACTACGCCATTTATTTTTAAGTTTTTAAGTAATTCATTTATTTATTTTTAATTTTTTTTTTTTGGAAGATTTCTTGCATATAATTTAATTATTTGAATAATTTTTTTTTTCATTTTATTTTTGTCATTTTATTGAATGAATGAACTAAGTTAAATATTTTATTTAAAAAAGCAAAAAAAAATTTAATCAATTCATAATGATTTTGTAAAATTTTGAAAGAAAAAAAATTGATATTTTATTTGTTTTTAAATTTTAAATTAATTAAAAATTCAAAATGTTTTGATTAAATTTAAATTATCTGAATAAGTTGAAATTTTATTATTATTATTTATTTTTTTTTTTGTTAAATTTTTATTTGTTTTCTTCATTTGATTTGAAAAAAATTAATCGAAAAAATTTGTGATTATTCAAGAGTTAAATCTAAAATTTATTTGCTAATATAATTGTTTTCATTTCATTTGTCGTTGTATTAAAATAAAAGAATAAATTAATAAAAATTTTTTAAAACTTTTTTTGTCGAGATTTTCAAGAATTTTCGAGAGTGATCAAAGCAGCAATCAATGTTGTTTTAAGCGATGTTCTACCATTGATCAATCATACATTTTGAGGGGACATTTTATTATTATAATCATAAAACAAAATAAAATATACAATCATGTTATCACTGATAACAAATGTTATCACTGATTGTAAGTTAATCTAATGAATTTTATTTTAAACAATTTTTAAAAATTTAACTTTCAGTTTCGATAAATATTTTTTTTAAATTAATTTTTTATCATTGGATGAATTTTTTTTTTTGTACAATTAATGAAATTATGCAAACTTAATAAAATCTATAAATGCCAACTAATTAATTAATTAATTTGAAGATCAAAGCATCAAATTATTTAAACTTAATGAAAGTTTGATGAGGCGCAGAAATCTATTAGCTAAATTTGATAAGGCGCAAAAATCTATTAACTAAATTTGATAAGGCGCAAAAATCTATTAGCTAAATTTGATCAGCGCAAAAATCTATTAGCTAAATTTGATGAGGCGCAAAAATCTATTAACTAAATTTGATAAGGCGCAAAAAAAATTCTTTTATTTGTTATTGATAATAATTTACAATCTTTAAATAAAAATTTTTGAAATTATTTACTAAAAATTAAATTAGACGAATTCCTTTTCTTTTTTTTTTGCATCAATTTATTCCAATTTTTTAAAATAATGAATTGAAAAAATCACTAAATTAAAAAAAAAATTTTCAAAATGAAAACAAAAATTTATTTTTTTAGTAAATTTAGCAAAAAAAAAAAAAATTTTAACAAAAAATTTATATTTTAGTAAATTTTATTTTTACTTCAAAACTTTTTCTTTCTTTTTTTTTTAAAATTTCAACAAATTTTATAATATCCGATTGTGTTATCAATATCAGTTGCATTGATTAGAAAAGTTTACATCAAATTTTAATCATCCATGCCAGTAAACAATTTTATAAATTTATCAGCTAGATCAATAAACGAAAATAAAAAAAAAAGGAGAGTAAAATAAATTTTTGATTAAAATAAACAAATTTACATTTCCATTTTTTTTTTTTCATAATCAATAAAATTGTTTTCAAAATAAAACATACAAATATCAGTGATAAATTAATTTGATAAAAACATTTGTAAATTATTTATCAATCTTCCATACTAGTAAACAATTTTATAAATTTATCAGTTAGATCAATAAACGAAAATAAAAAAAAAAGGAGAGTAAAATAAATTTTTGATTAAAATAAACAAATTTACATTTCCATTTTTTTTTTTTCATAATCAATAAAATTGTTTTTCACAAATATCAGTGATAAATTAATTTGATAAAAACATTTGTAAATTATTTATCAATCTTCCATACTAGTAAACAATTTTATAAATTTATCAGTTAGATCAATAAACGAAAATAAAAAAAAAAAAAGGAGTGTAAAATAAATTTTTGATTAAAATAAACAAATTTACATTTCCATTTTTTTTTTCATAATCAATAAAATTGTATTCAAAATAAAACATACAAATATCAGTGATAAATTAATTTGATTAGAACATTTGTAAATTATATATTAGAAAGGTGTGGTTGCTTAGAAGAAGATGAAATTATTATATTTGTTAATTTTGTTAATTATTTTAATTTGTTTATCTTTGCCGACATTTACCCTTACAATAAATGAAACATTGCAATGGAGTAATCATAGTAAAAATGTTAGTTTTTTTTTGAATTTCAAGAAAAAAAATTTTAAAAAACGTATAATGTTGCCATCTATAAAAAATTTCAATTTTTTTTTAAAAAAAAAACTAATCAATAAATTGTATGTTTCACTATTGCACCAGAAAAATCAATAATTCATATGTGTGTATGTGAAAAAAAAAATTTATTTGCTATAATAAAATTATTTAATAATAAAATAATAAATAGAATAATAAAATAATAAAATAAAATTTTCTAAACTAAAAATTAAATAAAAATTATACTAATTTTTTCTCTTTTTTTTTTAAATGAAATTTTATTTTTTTAAATGAAATTTGTAATATTAGTCTCATTTAAAATACCATAAATAAAATATATTAAAAAAATTTTTTTAATTAGTTAAAAAATACCAAAAAGAAAAGATTAGATTTTAATAATATTAAAATGAAAAAAATTAGAATTAATATTTGATTGCAAAAAAAAAAAAAAAATTGAAATTTTATAATTAAAGTAATTAGATGTTGTTAATTAGGGAAGTTGGTTAATTAGCGCAAATTTTTAATGATTAAATTTTTTGCATACTCAATGAGAACTTTTTCAAATAATACTTTTTTTAATTTTTTGATTTGAAATTAGCAAAATTTTCTCACTCACTAAATTTTCTTGTTAAAAATTAAATTTTCCTATTTACAAAAAATAAAAAAATAAAAACTTTTACAATTTGAACTATTCGATAATTTTAAAAACTTTCTTTCTTTAAGTTTTTTTTTTTTTTTTTTCTATTTGACAAATCAAAAAACTTTTTATTTTTCTCCTTTTTTTTTTCCTTTTTTTTTTTGAAAAAAATGATGAATTTTTGAAAGAAAATAAAAAATCAAACTTTTTTCTTTTTTTTTTAAAAATCAATTTGTATTGGAAAAAATTTTTTAAAAAAAATAAAATAAAATTAGTTATAATTTAATGTTTCTTTCCATTGCATTTCAAATAGACAATTATTTATTCAATAAAATTGCTTAAATTGCATTTTTCACATTAAAAATTAGCTTTAAAATGAAAAAAAAAAACATTTTCCTATATGACTGATAATTGAAAGTAATGCACAAAGCTTTTTGCATCAATTTTTAAAATTTTAAATTTTTATTTTTGAAATATATAAAATTATTTCAAATTAATAATTTTAATTGCTTTCATCTCACCTATAAACAATTTATTTATTTATTTATTTTGCTTTTTTATTATGAATTAATCAATTTACTGTAATTTTAAATAATTTTTAACTAATTGCATAAAATCGTTGAATGATTTATTTATTTTATTTATTCTCGAGATGAGATATTATTTCCAATAATAAATTTGCAAATGTGTTAAGCAATTAAATTTAACGATGTGTTCGTTATACTGAAACAATGATAAAATGATAAAACTAATCAGTGATAACAGAATTTAAGTTTATTAAATTTAGTAATAATAAATAATCGTTGAATATATTTAGTAGTATTATTGATGTTAATAAGAAAAGCAAATCTATTTTAACTTATTACAAATTTTTGTATTCTTTTTTGAAGAAAGACAACAAAAGTGTGAATTTGAAAAAAAAAAAGTAGGAAACATCGAAAGGAAAAAGTATGTGTATGTATGTATGTGTGTGTGTGTCTGTATGTATGTATGCATGTGTGTATGTCTGTATGTATGTATGCATGCGTGTATGTCTGTATGTATGTGTCTCTATGTGTGTATGTCCGTATGTATGTATGTGTGTGTGTGTGTGTATGTGTATGTCATTTATGATACTGAGGCAATGGCATCAGAAGTAGGAAACATTGGAAAGGAAAGAGTGTGTGTACGTGCGAATGTGTGTTATTTGTGATACAAAGGCCATAATATCAAAAGTAGGAAACGTCGGGAAGGAGAAAGTATGTACGTATGTGTGTATTCGTTGTATGTGTGTGTCTGTTGTATGTGTGTATTCGTTGTATGTGTGTGTGTGTTATGTGTGTCCGTTGTATGTGTGTGTCTGTTGTGTGTGTTATGTGTGTCCGTTGTATGTGTGTGTTCGTTGTATGTGTGTGTGTGTTATGTGTGTCTGTTGTGTGTGTTCGTTGTATGTGTGTGTCTGTTGTATGCGTGTGTTCGTTGTATGTGTGTGTCCGTTGTATGTGTGTGTTCGTTGTATGTGTGTGTGTGTGTGTTATGTGTGTCCGTTGTATGTGTGTGTCTGTTGTATGCGTGTGTCCGTTGTATGTGTGTGTTCGTTGTATGTGTGTGTGTGTTATGTGTGTCCGTTGTATGTGTGTGTTCGTTGTATGTGTGTGTTATGTGTGTCCGTTGTATGTGTGTGTGTGTGTGTTATGTGTGTCCGTTGTATGTGTGTGTCTGTTGTGTGTGTTATGTGTGTCCATTGTATGTGTGTGTTCGTTGTATGTGTGTGTCTGTTGTATGCGTGTGTCCGTTGTATGTGTGTGTTCGTTGTATGTGTGTGTGTGTTATGTGTGTCCGTTGTATGTGTGTGTTCGTTGTATGTGTGTGTCTGTTGTATGCGTGTGTCCGTTGTATGTGTGTGTCTGTTATGTGTGTCCGTTGTATGTGTGTGTTCGTTGTATGTGTGTGTTATGTGTGTCCATTGTATGTGTGTGTGTGTTATGTGTGTCCGTTGTATGTGTGTGTCTGTTGTGTGTGTTATGTGTGTTCGTTGTATGTGTGTGTCTGTTGTATGCGTGTGTCCGTTGTATGTGTGTGTCTGTTATGTGTGTCCGTTGTATGTGTGTGTTCGTTGTATGTGTGTGTTATGTGTGTCCATTGTATGTGTGTGTGTGTTATGTGTGTCCGTTGTATGTGTGTGTCTGTTGTGTGTGTTATGTGTGTCCGTAGTATGTGTGTGTGTGTTATGTGTGTCCGTTGTATGTGTGTGTTCGTTGTATGTGTGTGTCTGTTGTATGCGTGTGTCCGTTGTATGTGTGTGTCTGTTATGTGTGTCCGTTGTATGTGTGTGTTCGTTGTATGTGTGTGTTATGTGTGTCCATTGTATGTGTGTGTGTGTTATGTGTGTCCGTTGTATGTGTGTGTTCGTTGTATGTGTGTGTTATGTGTGTCCGTTGTATGTGTGTGTTCGTTGTATGTGTGTGTTATGTGTGTCCGTTGTATGTGTGTGTGTGTGTGTTATGTGTGTCCGTTGTATGTGTGTGTCTGTTGTGTGTGTTATGTGTGTCCATTGTATGTGTGTGTTCGTTGTGTGTGTGTGTCTGTTGTATGCGTGTGTCCGTTGTATGTGTGTGTTCGTTGTATGTGTGTGTGTGTTATGTGTGTCCGTTGTATGTGTGTGTTCGTTGTATGTGTGTGTCTGTTGTATGCGTGTGTCCGTTGTATGTGTGTGTCTGTTATGTGTGTCCGTTGTATGTGTGTGTTCGTTGTATGTGTGTGTCTGTTGTATGCGTGTGTCCGTTGTATGTGTGTGTCCGTTGTATGTGTGTGTCTGTTATGTGTGTCCGTTGTATGTGTGTGTTCGTTGTATGTGTATGTCCGTTGTATGCGTGTGTTATGTGTGTATGTGCCTGTGTGCATATGTGTGTGTATGTGTGTATCTGTATGAATGTGTGTTATTTATGGTGCAGAGGCAATGATATCAAAAAGAAACATCGGGAAGGGGAAAGTATGTGTATGTGTGTACGTGCGTATGTGTGTGTGTACGTGCGTATGTGTGTGTGTGTGTACGTGCATTATGATAAAGAAACAATGGTATCACTTTCAAAGCTCTTAGAACTGAATATCTCAGTTAATTCCTTTGTTACAGTTCATTCTTATCTTTTTATCACAAATCAGATTACTCATTATCACAAGTTAGATTACTCATTATCACAAGTTAGATTACTCATTATCACAAGTTAGATTACTCATTATCACAAGTTAGATTACTCATTATCACAAGTTAGATTACTCATTATCACAAGTTAGATTACTCATTATCACAAGTTAGATTACTCATTATCACGAGTTAGATTACTCATTATCATTATCATTTATCACTTAAATGATAAAGCCAATCATTCGTTGAAAAAAAATAATGCATAAAACGAAATGATAATTAATTAAAAATATTTGTGATAGCAATGAAAAAAAAATCAGTTATGATTAATTTTGAATTTTAATAAATTTCAACTTTTTAAGGTTTCTTTTTTTTTTAACTTTCAAATAATTTTAAAAGTTAAATTAACAGACAATTCGAATGTTTTTTTTTTCATTAATTTAACAATTTAATCATATCTTAGCCAATTTTTTTTTTTTTTTTTTCAAAAAAATGTAATTCTGTAAAAAAAATTTACAATGAAATATAAATTTATAATAAATTTGCTAAAATTAAAAAATTAATAAATTTTTTTTTCACACTAAAAATTTAATTTCAGTATGACAATGAGATGAATATTTGTCGGCGAATATTATTTAAAACAGATGATAAAATATTCACATTGCTAGCATTTCCAAGTTTATTTATTTCATTTAATCTTATCATCTTATCATCGTATTTATTTGCTATTACAATGACAGAAGTAAATTTAAATGATAATAATTTAATTTATTTATTTATTTATTTTTTTTTTATTTATTCACTAATATCTTTTAAAATGCTTTTTTTTTAATTATTATTTTTAAATTATTAAATTATTATTATTATTATTATTATTATTATTATTATTATTATTATTATTATTATTATTATTATTATTATTATTATAGATTTATGAAAGGAAAATAAACAAAAAAAAACTTAAAGTTATTAAATTTAAATTTATGTTTTATTTGAATTTTTTTTTTTTTAATAAAATCTTCATTAATTGTATTTTCTTATAGAAATTTATTTCGGAAATTATTTTTTAAATAATTTATCAAAAATATCAATGCATCATTTGATTGAAAATGTTATAATAATTTAACAAATATTACTGAATAAAGTTTTTTTTCAATTTTTTTTTTTTTAATTTTCCGGTTAAAACCTGATGTGAGAATAATAATTGATTGATAAATTATTTGGAAAATATTTTTAAAAAAAAAAAAAAACAAATTATTAATTCAACAATTTTCTCTTACAGTTGTTTTTGCTGTCTAAAATTTAAAGCTAAAAATTATAATTATATTAATTATTAATTAGAAAAGAAAAAAGGAATCAAATAAAAAAAAAATATATAAATTTTAAAATATAAATTTGAAAAATTTTTCTTTGTTAATTTAAACAAAAAAAAGACGATTGATAAGGAATTAAATTAAAAATTTAAATTTGAAAAATAAAAAAAAAAACAAATCCTTGTTTATTTGTTTTTTGTTTTTTTCTTTTACTCAATAAATTTAATTTTAATTGCAATTAATTAAATTTTTAAATTGAATTTTGAAAGATGAAAAAAATAAAAAATTATTGCAATATTAATTTTGAAATAACAGCACACATTAATGAATAAAACTAAAGTTTGTAAAATTTTGTATAACATTTAAAAACGAATGAAATTATTAATTTCATTTATTATTTTTCTTCGTTTTTGAATTTGAATTGAAATTTAATTTTGAATTTAATTAAATTAAAAATTAATATTTGATTTTTTTTTTTTGTTTTACAGATACGAAATGCTTTATTAGAATTCGTATAACATTTAAAAAAGAATGAAATTATTAATTTCATTTACTATTTGTCTTCGTTTCTGAATTTGAATTAAAATTTAATTTTGAATTTAATTAAATTAAAAATTAATATTTGAATTTTTTTTTTTGTTTTTCAGGTGCGAAATACTTTATTAGAAAAAGGAAATTTTGTATAACATTTAAAAACGATTGAAATTATTAATTTCATTTATTATTTATCTTCCTTTTTGAATTTGAATTGAAATTTAATTTTGAATTTAATTAAATTAAAAATTAATATTTGAATTTTTTTTTTTTAGGTACGAAATGCTTTATTAGAAACGGAAGATATTACACTTCAAATAATGGATTCTATATTAGTTTGTTTATTACCAACAAATATTATGAAACGAATTTGTTCAAATGATACTAAAAATATGCGTTATAAAAAAAGTATATGAAAAATATAATTTAAAATTTAATTCAAAAAATTTTTTTCTTTTTTTTAAATTTAAATTCTATTAATTTAAATTTTATTATTTTTTTTTTTGAGAAAAAAATTTTAAAAATATTTGATTAAAAAAAATGAATTCAATGTATTAATAATATGCATGCGCATATTATTAATAGTAATAATTTAAAAAAAATTTTTTTTTTACTTTTTTAAATAATTCCAAATTTTTTTTTTTTTCAAAATGCAAATTTAAATAATTTAATAATTGTTAATTCATTATTTTGACCTATAAATAATAATTTAAATTGTATCATTTCAACTGCAAAACTATCATTATGCAGCATTTTGCTATTTTTGTAAAGTTAATTTTTAAAATTGTTAGTAAAATTTAAAAAAAAAAAAAACTTTAATAAAGTTTTATTTTCAGTTTTTCGTTTTTTTTCTATTATTTACTTTTTTAATAATTAAAAATAAATTTAAAAATTCTTTTCTAAACTTCAAATTTTGGTTTTTTTTTCCTTTTTTTTGTAATATTTACTTTTTTAATAATTAAAAACAAATTAAAAAATTCTTTTCTAAACTTCAAATTTTGGTTTTTTTTTTTTAACTTTGAAAATTTTTTCATACTCCAAAAATTTTTGCTATTCAATTTCAAATTTGCATTAAATTGCAAAAAAAGAGATATTTTTAGCATTTATTTAAATTTAACTTTTTTTTTTCCTTTTGGTGTGGGAAAAAATTTAAATATATTTTTTGAAATTAAATAAAATATTATAATTTTGTGATAAAAATTGAAATTATAATTGCAAATCAATAAATGCATTTTTTTTTAAATATAAATATAAAATTTTATTTGTTAACAATTTAAAAAAAAAAATATTTGATAAAATCGATTTAAAAAATGTGAAAAATTGAATTTGAAATTTTATAATTATAATTAAATTATTCAAATAATATTATAAGTAATATCAAAAATAATTTTGAATCGAATAATTGTTAAAATTTAAATTTGCAAATTTAAAGTAAATTTGTTTATTTAATTTTTAACGAAAATTAAATTGCGATTAATTTATATATTTTTTTTTAAAATTTTTTTTTTTATAATTTTCTTAAGTGAATTTCATTTAAATTTTTCATTTATTCATTTCATAGTCATAAAAATTTAATAAAACTGAAAAACTATCATCAGGTATCATCAACCTTTTCCGGAAAACTGACTTATCATATCTGCAAAAAATCTGATTTACAATTTGCCCAGTTTTTTGGGCAAATTAACTAAACACTTTTGGTAGTTTTCCCAGAAATTTTCCCTGTCTGATTAGTATCATTTGTTATCACTAAGTGATAAAATCTAAATAATTAACTGATAATTTTTCATTCATTCATTTCATAGTCATAAAAATTTAATAAAACTGAAAAACTATCATCAGGTATCATCAATCTTTTCCGGAAAAGTGACTTATCATGTCTGCAAAAAATCTGATTTACAATTTGCCCGGTTATTTGGGCAAATTAACAAAACACTTTTGGTAGTTTTCCCGGAAATTCTCCCTGTCTGATTTGTTATCACTAAATGATAAAATCTAAATAATTAGTTGATAAAACTAAAAAAAAAAATTGTAATTTTGTAAAATAAATGAATAAATTTAAATGATAAGAATTTGTAAGCATAAAAAAATACTTTATCAACTGATAAGGATGTAATCAATTAAGGTCAATTTTTCCTTTTATTTTTAAAGTTTTATTACACTTCTTTCCGGTTTCTTTTTTTTTCACCAATTTGTCTTTTTCAGTGATAAATTTAAAAACGATTATTGATAAAATAATCAAATATGAGTAATAGGAAATTAAACTTAACCGGAATATGAGTAATAGGAAATTAACTAAAACAGAAACTTTTTTTAATTCATTAACCGGAATAATCAAATATGAGTAATAGGAAATCAAACTTAACCGGAAATTTTCTTTTTATTCATTAACCGGAATAGGCAAATATGAGTAATAGGAAATTAGCTAAAACGGGAATTTTTTTTAATTCATTAGCCGGAATAATCAAATATGAGTAATAGGAAATCAAACTTAACCGGAAATTTTCTTTTTATTCATTAACCGGAATAATCAAATATGAGTAATAGAAAATTAGCTAAAACGGAACTTTTTTAAATTCATTAACCGGAATAAACAAATCTGAGTAATAGGAAATCAAACTTAACCGGAATATGAGTAATAGAAAATTAACTAAAACGGAAACTTTTTTTATTTCATTAACCGGAATAATTAAATATGAATGGTAGGAAATTAACTTAACCGGAAATTTTCTTTTTTTAATTCATTAATCGACCTAAAGTTACAAATTAAATTAACTTGTTCCTTGTTAAAGTTATCGTAAAAATTTTTCCTTTTTTTTTTTTTTTTAAATTATTTTTTTTTTAAATTAAATTTTTTTTTTTTTAAGTCCTAAATTTGTTGAATTAATTGATGTAAAATTGGTTGAGGAAGAAGAAAAAAATGAATGAATGAAATTAAAATATTTTTTATTGAATGTTTAACAAATGAATAAAATTAAATGATCCATAAAGAAAAGCAAATTTTATAACAAAAATTTTTTTTCTTTTTTTCTTTTTTTTTTTGAATTTTAATTTATTCAAATATATTTTCAATTTTTTTTTTATTTAAATTTTTTTTTTCTAATTTTTAATTCTAACAAATTCTTTTCAAACAATTTTTTTTTTTGCTATTTTATTTATATATATATAATAAAATATGGTAGCAAAAATGTTTGTCAAAAAATTGATGCATTTTTTTTTGTCTTTTTTCCTACTTTTTTTTTAGATATTTTTAATTGATATTAATTATGTGATAATAAAATTATCAGTGTTATCAGTGTTATCAGTATAATTTTTAAATTAATCATTTTAATTTAGATAGTAGCATGAAAATATTGTTAATAATTTATTAAGCACAGAAAAGAAAAAACGAATAATTTTACTAACTTTTGAGAGAAAATCTTTCGTTTATTTTTAATTGATATTAATTATGTGATAATAAAATTATCAGTGTTATCAGTGTTATCAGTATAATTTTTAAATTAATCATTTTAATTTAGATAGTAGCATGAAAATATTGTTAATTACTTTTTAAGCACAGAAAAGAAAAAACGAATATTTTTACTAACTTTTGAGAGAAATTGTTTCGCTTATTTTTAATTGATATTAATTATGTGATAATAAAATTATCAGTATTATCAGTGTTATCAGTATAATTTTTAAATTAATTATTTTAATTTAGATAGTGGCATGAAAATATTGTTAATAATTTATTAAGCACAGAAAAGAAAAAAGGAATATTTTTACTAACTTTTGAGAGAAAATCTTTCGTTTTATTTTTAATTGATATTAATTATGTGATAATAAAATTATCAGTGTTATCAGTGTTATCAGTATAATTTTTAAATTAATCATTTTAATTTAGATAGTAGCATGAAAATATTGTTAATAATTTATTAAGCATAGAAAAGAAAAAACGAATAATTTTACTAACTTTTGAGAGAAAATCTTTCGTTTACTTTTAATTGATATTAATTATTTGATAATAAAATTATCAGTGTTATCAGTATAATTTTTAAATTAATCACTTTAATTTAGATAGTAGCATGAAAATATTGTCAAATATTTATTAAGCACAGAAAAAAAAACGAATATTTTTACCAACTTTTGAGAGAAAATCTTTCGCTTATTTTAAATTGATATTAATTATGTGATAATAAAATTATCAGTGTTATCAGTGTTATCAGTATAATTTTTAAATTAATCATTTTAATTTAGATAGTAGCATGAAAATATTGTTAATAATTTATTAAGCACAGAAAAAAAAACGAATGTTTTTACTAACTTTTGAGAGAAATCTTTCGTTTATTTTTAATTGATATCAATTATGTGATAATAAAATTATCAGTGTTATCAGTGTTATCAATATGATTTTTAAATTAATTATTTTGATTTAGATAATAGCATGAAAATATTGTTAATAATTTATTAAGCACAGAAAAGAAAAAACGAATATTTTTACTAACTTTTGAGAGAAATTCTTTCGCTTATTTTTGATTACGAAAAAGTAAGTAATGATAATCAGTAATTAGTGATAAATAACACTGATAAAATGATTAGTAGCAATGATAAGGAATCAAACAACTTGACTAATTGAATGAAAATTTTAATTTAATTCAAATTTCTAGCTCTATTGAATGATTAAATTAAGTTATTTAAATAATGATAATAATTAATGATAATAATAATAATCACTAATTAGTGATAAATGACATTGATAAAATAATTAGCAGTGATGATAAGAAATCAAATAACTTAACTAATTGAATTTAATTATGTGATAAAATAGTTACTAAATGCAGTATAATTTTAAAAAAAAGGTTATTTAATTCAAATTTCTAGCTCTATTGAATGATTAAGTAAAATTATTTGAGTAGTGATAATAATTAGTGATAATAATAATAATCACTAATTAGTGATAAATAACATTGATAAAATAATCAGTAGTAATGATAAGATATCAAATAACTTAACTAATTGAAAAAAAAAAATTTAATTTAATTCAAATTTTTAGCTCTGTTAGAATAATTTAATTCAAAACTAATAAATCTTTTTTCTAATTCATCAAAATATTTCACTTTTTTTTTTCTTTTTAAATTATCAAAATTAGTTTTTTAAAAAAAAAAACAATGGAACTTTTATCTAAGAATAAATGTTTGTTAAGCAATTTTTAATTTTTATTTTTAATTTTAATTTTTTTTTCCATTTTTAAGTTTTATTAAGCAATCTGTGTTCAATTAATTCTTTTCAAATATTTGAAATTAAAATTTTGTATATTTAATATTTTATTTTTCATTTTTTGATATTGAAAAATATTTTGCATCAAGTTAAATTTAACTTTTTAATTAATTTTTTAATTAATTAATTTTTATTTTATACTGTCAGTTTTTTTTCATTTTTA